GCGTGTACGTGAGAGCGCCTGCAGGCGTGTAATGTCCTGTATAGGGACACTGTTGTCGGTTGTGTTGTTTTGTTTCGATGTGATTCTCGACAAAACTTTCTGCACGTATTATAACAGTAGATGGCACAGGTTCGTATTTTTTATTCACACACATGAATAAACGTATGAGGTTAATCACATACATGATTGTCTGTGTCTGTGCCGGATGTAAGCAGGATAACAGGATATTTACGGGCAATTATAGCATTTTTAAACTGACGACTGTAATAATCGCTATATTAATATCAAGAGCTAATAATACCTTATAATAAGAGCTATAATATGTATTATTAGCTCTTATTAATATCAAAGGATTTCACTGCGCATTTGTATAAAGAACGGTGTACTGCTACATTTAACGAGAGTAACAACGTGTTTTTTAATTTGCACGAACTTTTATGTCTTTATTCATTACTCTAAACGACCGTTTTAAATCTGATGTTTGGTAATTTTTTCGAGTGTAAGTACACATTTTCATGTACTTGTAAGCGGAGCGATTTTGCTGTAAGAGAGACGACGATTTTTTGTATTTACACGTAACGATTTGTAATGCCAACGAATTACGCTGTCAGTTTTATGTGGGTCCTAGTGTGATCCAGCATCTACATAATCCACCAACCCTGTCTGTAACGTGGGCCGTATAAAATTTTACAGGCCTGGTATATTACGTGTATCATCACGACAAGACGAGCTCACACCACTTGCTGCTCACAACATGGTAAGACCTCCACCCAACTTTAGGCAGCAAATATGGCAACTGCCGCACGATCGTCGGTTCGTCTATGATGTTCAATAAATTGTTTATACAATATACCGCAACTCGCCGCCTGAATCGTACATGTTCTCTTCGCTTGTTTGCGCATATATTTCGCGTGTTATATTTTTTCGCTTGGCGCTACGATGCACGAATTCGCACCCATGCTGGGTCGCTTCCGTCGCTCTCGAAATGTATAAAGGCCGTGACATAACTCGTGCCGCTTTCCGTCGTCGGCATGGCGACGCTTCCGGTGCTCACGTTCCCTTCGTCATGGCGAGAGTTATTCATGTACAGCTACGCGTCGTCGTCAATAAACAATCGTTCCCAACAGCGTGTTGCGTAACACATGCAGCGGCGTTGGCTATATGCAATACCGCCGCTATTGTGGCGCTGCGCTATAGCGAGGTGTTAGGCGAGTCTAGCCGTATAAGCGGGTGCCATGCATGGAAATGTTAATGCTCGCGATGCAATTCTCTCTCGCTCTCTTCTCTTTTTTCTCTTTCGCTCTTTCTCTCTCTATCGCACTCGATTTCTCCGTAGCCGTGAAAATGCGCATTATGAAAATGTTCATGGTCGCGTTCTAAGGTTCTCTCTCTGTCTTCCTCTCTCTCTCTCTTTATGCGAAAATAAAGCAACCATTAGGTATATGACCGCACTGTGGTTCTAAATGCACGCAGCGCCGACACCCGCTGCATGCATCAACAGCGTATATATTACGGCGGTCTCCAGTGAACTTCGGTGACGGGATTACTCGTATAGATGGACGCGAGCGTCGTCGCTGGTGACGCCGCGATTGAAGATGGCGTGTGCACACAGCCGCCATCTTTCCTTGCACGGCACGTCTGCACATTATCCCGTAGTTTCTGTCACTTGTGTGATGGCGGGAAGAGGGATCATTTTAGGATAGAGCGACGCTAGGGGCGCATTCGATACGTTTATGTTATGGCTAAAATAGCAACACGTACACGCGATAAAAAACACAACCGCCCACAGTATAGCTTGATACGGAACTACAGATGAAAATCCTAACATGTATAAACAGGCGCACGTACGTGAGGGAGCGAAGCGGTATATATATATATATAATTATATGTATAATATTATGATTTTTTTTCAGATTTGGCGGTAATCCGTGGGGGATGGATAAAATCTTACGTGAGATTGTAATGGGCGTGAACACGGAGGACGAGCAGAACAAGGTAGAGAAATATCAGCCATAAGTTTATAGCCATTAATTAGATTACAATAGCGACTGCGATCGTCGGTCACGTGCGCACACCACGTCATCTAATTTCACTAATTAGTTATTAAGTTAATCTAACTAATTTGATATCGAATTTCCTCCTGAAATGAAATTGTTTCGCCTGCAACAATATGGCAATGGAACATCGGATGAAATGAACGCTGGATTCCGACTATCTGGCTCTATACAGGCGGCCGAGCGTCAGGGGAGACGTAATTCCGCTGAAGTCGGCATGGCGTGTAGAGAGGGGCAAGGCAATAGACACGTTCAAATCGTGGGCATCAGGAAAATTGCATTTGTCGCGCTGCGTCTGAATGCACGCCGGTGAGCGGGAGGCTAGACGACTTCACTGCCGCAAAAGTGTTGTTATATTAATCAAAATAATTATCGACGCATGTATACCCTTGGTGATTCGCCTTCCTTATCGCTCGGCCTGCACACAACCGCCCGCAAAACCGCAC